CTTTTATTGACTGAGAGTTGCTCCCTGAAGTTCCACCCACTGTGCCTAGTTCCCCTCCCCCCTAAAAGTACTGTTACATTGTTCTACATGAAAAGTCTTTACATAAATATTCATTAAGAGCAATCTTCTCTTTTCCAGGCAAAAACCTCTTCACGTCTTCCAATAGATTCTCATGTGACATGGTCACTCTCAGCTGGACACACTCCAGTTTGTCAATGTCCCTTTTAAAGTTAGGCTCCTGAAAGAGACCCTGGCTCCAGACAGGTTCTGGCCAAGGCAGCGTACAATGGGCCATTCCTTCTCTTGATCTGGACATTAAACGCTCAATTAGTGCAGCGCAGAATTACATTAGCTTTCTTGGCAGCCACTCTGCAGTCTGTTTATAGTGAATCTTCTGTCCATTAAACCCTCTGTTTCACATTAATTGCTATGAAGTGACTCCTTTTTTAAAAAAATATTTTGATTTTTTTACAGAGAGGAAGGGAGAGGGATAGAGAGTTAGAAACATCAATGAGAGAAAAACATCAATCAGCTGCCTCCTGCACACTCCCTACTGGGGATGTGCCCACAACCCAGGTATATGCCCTTGACCAGAATCGAACCTGGGACCCTTGAGTCCGCAGCCTGATGCTCTATCCACTGAGCCAAACTGGTTAGGGTGTGACTCCATTTTTAAAAAATGGATTTGAGAGAGGAAGGGAGGGAGGGAGGGAGAGAGAGAGAGAGAGAGAGAGAGAGCGAGCGGGAGGGAGAGAAATGGATTTGGTGTACATGTATTCATGCATTCATTGGTTAATGCTTGTATGTGCCCTGGGATCAAACTACAACCTTGGTATATTGAGAGGATGCTCTAACTCTAACTGAGCTACCTGGCCAGGGCCATTGTGAAGTGAATTCTTTTCTATCCTGTGCTCCTGCAGTTGACATTTCTTAATGTAAGGGTTGGACTTTACTTTTATCTTCTTTATATTTCATCCAGTCGGTTTTAGTCCAGTCACTCAAAATACTATAAATTGTCTAACCACTATGCTGTACACCTGAAATTAACACAAAATAATATTGAATGTAAACTTTAATTGAAAACTAAAAAATTTAAAATATATCATAAGATCTTCAGCTGTTCTTCAATGGGGTATAAATAGTGGCCTTGAATTTTAGTGTTACTTCTGTACATCTAAAAGACTGATAACATATATCAGGTGTCTTAGTTACATGATCTTGGAATTTGCATTTGTGGCTTTGTCAGGCTGATAGAATGTTTTTCTTGTCTTCCTTTTTAGATTCTACAGGAGGGAATGATGCTGAAGTGAAGGATTTACTCCATATCACTCCACTTAAATTTATCTGTACAGCATGTATGATGATATAATATTTTCCTTATTTACTTATTTCTCCACACTGAAATGTGAGCTCCATGAAAGTGGGATCCTGTCTTGTTCTCTTCTGTATTCCTATTACCTAGAATAGTGCTTGGCACAAAGTAAGTGCTTAAAATGAATGAATCTAAGTATGACACAAAAGACCTACCATTTTAAAAAGATTATTTAAAAACAATGTAAAGGCTGAGCCAGGTTTACCCCAGCACTCACCTGGATGTGGATGCAGGCACATCGTTTAAATTTTAAGAAAATATTACTAACATCCTTTTAGTATGATGAGCCAGAGCTACCTTTGGGTAAATTAAAAAAACAAATACTGCCCTCTGATGGTAGTGGAGGTTGGTTTTTTTTTTCCTTTTTAATTTAATTTTAGTAGCAATAGTTGTACATCCTCATTCCCTTAAGATCAAACTATGGCTGCAGGTAATGGAGTAGGCTGGGAGGGACTTTAAGATGCACAATGCATTTGCATCTGCATATTCCAGACAATTTTCCTAGCTACTATCCTTAGCCCCAACCCTTCCAACTAGTTTGCTTCCCCAGCCCTCTCATTCTGGAGTCCTAGTGGTTAACTTGGCAGGGCCAGGGTAGGCCTTTCCAAAGGCTTATCAGAAGATAGTGACACAGCTTGCTTGCTTGGGCCAGCTGTGACCCAAACGGGGAGAGTGGCCCCTCATATGGCAATTGTCCTTTATTTGTCTAACTTCTCAACTTGGCCTCTTTCTCTTTTGCCTCAAGCTTTCCGTTCTTTCTGGCTTCCTGTTCCCAACTCCTCTCCTAGGTGAAAATGTCAAAGGTTAAAAGTTTAAAATATGCCAGCCCATTATATCAAAAGCATTCCCCCAAATCTAAAAAATATATTAATTATTTTATCAGGGCTATCAGGTATCAAAGTTTAATTCTCAAAATTTAAAAAACATAATTTTCATACCAATGTAAAATGAATACATATCTAAGACTTATTAACTCATCAATGAAGCACCAATAAAATGGTTAACACTGGTTCAAAAAATAGTTAATGTCTGCCCTAGCTGGTGTTGCTCAGTGGATAGAGCGTCGGCCTGCAGACTGACAGGTCCCAGGTTCCATTCTGGTCAAGGGTACATGCCAGGGTTGCGGTCTTGGTCCCCAGTAGGGGGCGTGCAGGAGGCAGTCAATCAATGATTCTCTCTCATCATTGATGTTTCTCTCTCTCTCTCCTTCCTTCCTCTCTGAAATCAATAAAAATATATTTTTAAAAAGTGGTTAATGTCTTACAGGCAAATAAACCTACAGGTTATCTTCTCTATTGACAACAATTTTTCAAATTAACATGGAACTAAATACACAGTGTCTGGGCTCCAATCAAACAGTAAACAACAAAGTCAAACACAAATACACTGTCCTAGAAAATTAAATAATCCTTGAGGAAATTTTTAAATAATGCTGCAATATAATGTTGAAAAGACATGTGGCCCTCATCTTTTCCCTTATTTGTAAGTTTTAGATAATTTTCCTTAACACAAGTTTATATATATATATATAAATTATATAGATATATGTTTTTTACATAAAATTTATGTATATTTATCCTGTCAGTCTTTACCTGTTTTGGAGTGTGTTAGTACTTCGCAAGTGGTTAACAGAGGATATGAGAGAGCAAAAACATAAATCTTATTTTGTTACTAGTTGATAACTCTAATTTCAGGATGAGAGTGTTGGTGTAGAGTGGAGGGGAAAGAGATAAAGTGAAGGAAGAGATTAAAAGACTTGGATAAAATAAACTTTGAGGGTTACATTAAGATTTTAATTATCCATTCTATTTCTATGGTTATCACACACAATGGATACCGCTAAGTTTCCTGTCAGTAGAGAATGCATCTCACCAAATATGTGAAAATTATGTAGTAGCCAGTGTAATAACAGGAAAGAGGGACAATGACATCAACGAATATTTAACAGTAGTGATGACAGATGCCTGGCTCTGGCTAAACTTTCCTTATAAGTATTGAGGCAGGTGGTAGTTTTGCTCTCCTAAGTACATAAGGCTACTATCAAGAAGGTCAAGGGCAAGAAGGCAACCCTAATAGAATTTGTTAACCCAATAGTTCCTACCAGAAACTGAAAAGTTCCTACACCAGGATGGTCATATTGAGGTTGGGAACAAGGAGCATTCATTCAATTTAAAGACTATCCTGTCCGTCTTCAACATGTACTACCAACTTTGTTAGTTGTTTTGCTTTGTTTTTGTTTTTCTTCTTTTGGTGGAACATAAAAGAACTTTTTTCTGTCCTAGCTGGTTTTCTCAGTGGTTAGAGCACTGGCCTGGGGACTGAAGGGTCTTGGGTTCAATTCCAGTCAAGGGCATGTACTTTGGTTGCAGGCTCGATTGCAGGAGGCAACCAATCAATGTGTCTCTCTCATATCAAGGTTTCTCTCCCACATCAATGTTTCTCTCCCTGTCTGAAGTGGGAGGGGGAGAGAGAGAGAAATATTGATGTGAGAAACATCGATCAGTGCCTCCTGTAAGCACCCCAATTGGGGATGCAACTGACAACCTAGGCATACGCCTTGATGGGGAATCAAACTCACAACCTTTTGGTGTACAGGGCAATGTTCCAACCAACTGAGCCGCCCCGCCAGGGCTAAAGATCTATTAATTCCATCCCTCTATATTTTCTTCTTCAAATTATTGATGCTGTTGCCCAAAACCATAGTAAGCATTTTATATCTACCCAAATGACTTTAGGATCTGGCTGATTTTCTTCTCTTTGCCCCCATCAGTGTTCCCAGGATCTTTCAATATCTGAGCTATTGCTCCTCCAGGCTCCTTAATCTCCTAACTTCTTGGTTTTATGGATTGTCTTTTCCATCAGTCTTGGTCTGGAAAGTTCAGATGCTCGATGTTATCACCACCAGGACTTGCTAAACTTCTGAGATCTCTTAACTCAGCATTTCCCTTCTCGGACCCAATTGCTTTAATTGCTCACCAGTCACAACTTGTCAGACCTGCCTTCTGGTGCCACCCCTTCTAGTGCTTTTCATTGCTCAGCCCCTAGATCTCCTCCAGCCTCACTAATAGGTGGCTCCACCTTGTTCATTAAGAAAACTGAAATCATAAACCTGGTCCTGCCCCTGGCATAACTGGTCTGTCAGTCTTCTCTCTTGTTCTTCCCTCTCCTTTAAAGCTGTCCCTTTTGAAATGTCCTGGGGGAACTTCCATAGAGTAAATACTCCAACAGTGTTTACTGAATAAATTAATGAGTGACCAAATCTCTTCAGAGGAAAAAAGTAATATATTAAAATTTAGAATGCACATACCCAGCAGGTCCCCTCTATGCATTATTTATAGTCGTGCACATGTGTAAAATAGAGAATGTACAAGGTGATTTGCTGTGGCATTGTTTGGACAGTAAAAGGGGAACGCAACCTAAGGTCAACTTTTGAAATATTTCATCTATATCTATGAAACAGAATACTATGTAGATATGAAAGAATCTCCAATTCTGAAAATTCTTTTGCTACCTATGGCAAATATACATGAGTCATGACCATCTTGTCCCTGGTGATATCACCATAAGAATAATCCCTTTAATGAGGCTTTTAATGGTAAAGAGTAGAAATGGACGGGTAGAAAGAATGAACAATTTTTACAGTTTTATTTAATGAGTATTAAGTTCCTTGCAGAAAACACAGGATTTCTACCAATTAAATAATAAGAAAGATTATCTGTATACATATAACCTTGTCAACAAAAATTTCCTCTTTGTAGATCCAAATTCATGAATAGGCCTAAACTGGCAGTACCTATTGTTCATTTATTATGGGTAGAGTCCCCATTTTACAAACAAACCTCTTTTTTATGGGAAAAGGTTCAGGGTTTCAGAATGTCTTTGGTGTATATTTCCTGATATCTGAGGGGCAGAATTCTCCTGTTGTCCGTCAAATGACATGAACTGTAGCTGCAGCACATTGTGCAGGGGCACTCTACTTTAGAATTAAATACTTATAAAACAGAGTTAAATACAAGTAAAGACATAATGCATACAGGATAATCCCCTAGTAACTGTATATGCCCTCCAATCTTATCAAACTATAATTTCCTTACTGTGCCTCAATGAAAAAACAATTTTTTAATCTTCACCCAAGGATATGTTTAGAGAGAGGAGAGGAGAGGAGAGGAAACATTGATGTGAGAGAGACTCTAACATCAATCGGTTGCCTCCTGTATGTGCCCCAATCGGGGATCAAAGCAGCAACCTAAGTACATGCCCTGACCAGGAATCACACCCGAAGCCCTTTTTTGTGTATGGGTCAATGCACCTACATGTCCTGTTTTTGAAACGTAACACGGTCAATCCAAATATGACCTGATGTGTACATTTAGTGTTCTTTACAGATTTTTCTAGGACTAATCTACATTCTCTGTATGAACATGGAGTTTCTGCTAGCCCAATAAATTTTTGTTTTTGATATCAGAACTCGTCAGCTGACTCTGTGTCCCAGCCACAGGACTGCAGTTGTTCATCCTGTGGGAACTCAACTTCTATGTCATAAACAAAATTTGGATCATCCTTCTTCTTCTGATTTTTCTCAAAAAGTTCATCCATGATGCTCTTCCTTTTGGCAAGTTCCTTGTCATCTAGCTTGTTCAGGTCTTCCTCAGGATCAATGGTTGTTTCCCGCTGAATCTGTTCCATTGTTTCTGCCAAACTCTGCCCCCGCAAGTTACCTCGTAAAAAACAGAATAATTTCTCAAGCTGTCTCAGGGACACTTGTTCCAGGTAACTCTTGTGTCGTGGATTATTCTTTAATTGTTCAGCAGCTCTGTTGCAATCTAGGAAGGAAGAAACAAAACAATACACCACACAAAACCTACACACCACAAGCTATTGGTGCACCACAAACTACTGACAGCATTACCTGCCATCATAGCCAAATAGCTAAGTGGTTTGTTTGGAACAAATTATTCTGCAGAACTATTTCTTTATATCGAGCTTTGAGGTGGTAGAAGAAGAAGGGATGTTTTGTGTGTTTTTTTAAATTTTCTTAACTTAAAGTCATTTTGAGAAGATGTTAAACACTTTCAACTGGAGAAAATGTCGGAGAAGAAAAAGTAGTATTACAGCTTTAGATATTAGTACTGGTACTAAGAAAATGTGGAGACTATAAGTAAAAAACACATTTGGAGGGAGAGAAGGAAATTAATATTATTGAATAATGCTATCTCAGTTAACCTACACAGCAATTCTGAAAGGGCGGGGATTATCAATTTCCTTTTACAGATGAGAAAACTGAAGCTCACTGAGAGGAAGTCATTTAGCCAGGGTCACATATCTATCCTGAGACATGATTTGAACCCAGGTCTGTTTAACTCTGAATGCCCTGTTAGACCATTACATAAAACTCAAATCGCTCTTATTCAGTGATTTAGGGAGTATTTAAGATGGGAGGTGAGATAAAACATGAGGTACCTGAGCTTGGCTGGTGTGGCTCAGTGATTGACCTTCATCCTAGGAACCAAGAGGTCGCTGGCTTGATTCCGTCAGGGCATATGCCTGGGTTGTGGGCTCGGTCCCCAGTGTGGGGTGTGCAGGAGGCAACCGATCAATGATTCTCTCTCATCATTGATGTTTCTATCTCTCTCTCCTCCTCCCTTCCTCTCTGAAATCAATAAAAATATATTTTAAATAAGTAAATAAAACATGAGTTACCTGAAAACTTTGAAAAATTTCGGACAGGCATGATACGCTGGCGACTTTTCCCTTTCATTTCATTCTCATAGATTAGGATAATAGCTGGAGGCTGAAGCCTAATTCCACATTTCTTGGCAGTGCACGTCATTCTCATATACACTTCAGGGTAAACGAGAGGAAATCTGAAAATGTGTTAGTCACATAATGACTTCCTGCAAAAGAGGGGAAAAAATTAAGTGTTGGATTAATCACACTCTTCCCTCTCTCTCTCCCCAGCAGATCTGGCTCTAGTTCAGATTTAGATCAGTTCTACAGATACATGCCTAGCCCATCAATCTCAATATTTTGAGCGTTACCCTCAAAGTTTACTTTGGCCCTGGGTTAGCCTTAGTCTGTTGGATCCCTGATTCATTGAGGGGTACAGGTATGTTCACACATGAACTTGGAAATGCAGTTCAGTTTGGCTCTCTTACTGTACTGTACTTTTAATCAAAGATTATATATGAACCCATGAGTCAGCCCAAAAACTGACTTATAGGATCTTTTTTATTTAACAATTAAACAAGTATATACAAGGCCCTAAGTCTATGTCAAGGTACTAAGAGGTTTTTTTTAAATCTTAATCATTATATTTTGAGAGGTTCACCAGACCAGATCTGTTTCCCTTGTACTTTCCTAGTCATTTTATTCATTGAGTTTTTGGGGTTTTTTTGTAATTACTTATTTAATCATTTATCTTCCCTTCTCTTCCATATGCTCCATGAGGACACGGAACATTTCCACTGATTACCACAATATCCCAGCACAATACCTGGAATATAGTAGGCATTCTGTACATACTTGTTTAATTCAATGTATTAAAATAAGCCCCTGTACATCCTGAAAGTTTTTACAGTCCAGAAGTCTGACCAAAAAGGCAAAGCCACCTAGCCAGTGTGGCTCAGTGGTTGAATGTCGGCCCACGAACCAGGAGGTCATAGTTCAATTCCAGGTCAGGGTACATGCCTGGGTTTTGGCCTTGATCTCCAGTAGAGGGCATGCAGGCGGCAGTTGATGGATGATTCTTTCTCATCATTGTTGATTCTCTCTCTCTCATCCTCTGAAATCAATAAAAACATATTTTTTAAAAAGGCAGAGCCACCCTAGCAGGTTTAGCTCAGTGGATAAAGCATAGGCCGGCTGACTGAAGGGTCCGGGGTTCAATTCTGGTCAAGGGCACGTACCTCGGTTGCAGGCTCCTCCCTGGTCGGGGCTCGTACAAGAGGCAACCAATTGATGTGTTTCTCTCATATAGATATTGCTCTCTGTCTTTCCCTCTCTCTAAAAAAACAAGGGAAAGCCCTAGCCGGTTTGATTCAGTGGATAGAGTGTCGGCCTGCGGACTGAAGGGTCCCAGGTTCAATTCCGGCCAAGGGCACATACCTAGGTTGCAGGCTCCATCCCCAGTGTGGGGCGTTCAGGGGGCAGCCAATCAATGATTCTCTCTCATCATTAATGTTTCTATCTCTCTCTCCCTCTCCCTTCTTCTCTGAAATCAATAAAAAAAAATATAAAAACAATGGAAAAATATCCTCAGGTGAGGATTTAAAAAACAAAAAAGTCAGAGCCAATGCAGAATCAGCCTATACATACACAAGGCAATAAAGTTTATATGACTTTTAGTTAAACTTATTTGTCTCATTACATTTTTTTTTCAGTTACAAGAAACACAGCTATTTTTTCAGGTTAATACTTTCTATTCCCTCTTCCTTCCCTTCCCCCCAATGCCAAAGTACACTTAATTATAGGGACTGCTTTAGATGTGACTATATTATTCCCAGGAAATTTTGAAAATATCAAGGAATCTAGAAGTAAATCAGCATAAAGTAATGATATCTTTTTCTTTTTTAAAGATATTTTTATTGATTTCAGAGCGGAAAGAAGAGGGAGAGAGAGAAACATTAATGATGAGAGAAAATCATGGATTGGCTGCTTCCTGCATGCCCCCCACAGGGGATGGAGTCCACAACCCGGGCATGTGCCCTGACAGGGAATCAATGATGATCTGGTTCATAGGTCAATGCTCAACCACTGAACCACTCAGTTGGACAAGTAATGATATCTTCATAAACTCAGCTCTGTCAGCAAATCACTACAGGCACAGAGTTATTTAATACATGTTCACTGTAGAAAACTAGAGGTGAAGGTGGGACATGGGGAGGAAGAAACATAAAAAATAGTCACCCTTAATTCCTTCCAGTCTTTTTTCTAGGCATACGGTTTTATTTATATTTTAGGCATACAGTTTTATTTTTTTCAACTACAGTAGCTGGGTGGGTCTACTTTTTTGATCAGGCTTCTAGACTGTAAAAACTTTCAGGAGGTACAGGATATCGCCTTTTAAATTTAACAACCTATGTGATTTTGTCATTAAATGTTCCATCAAAATGCTAACTTTTCTATTACTGCCAAATGTTTGTTCTAAGGATATATCAAAATCTCTCTTATCCACCCCTTATTGTGAGATGTAAGAACTTTTACTCTTAGAAAATTAATAATATATAAAGCTTTTTCAATTTTCTGTGGTCTGCCCCTGACCTAATGCAATGATCCCACCCCATTCCTTCCTTCTCCCCTTCTTCTTCTTCTAACAAATACTATTCCCAGTTCACCTCACTAAAATTTGGTGTATTAGTAAACTTTCTAGGAGATCCTACTGAGCACAACATAAATTCCACACAGTCAAGTAAATAGCTGTACTCGTGAAGGACGCATGCAATAGATACTCAATAATACAGTTTAGCCCTAGCTGGTTTGGCTCAGTGGATAGAGCATCGGCCTGCGGACTAAAGGATCCCATGTTCCATTCTGGTCAAGGACTCATCCCGGGGCTGTGGGCCAGATCCCCAGTAGGGGACATGCAGGAGGCAGCCGATCCATGATTCTCATCCTTGATGTTTCTATCTCTCTCTCCCTCTCCCTTCCTCTCTGAAATCAATAAAAGTATATTTAAAATAATAATACAGTTTTAAAAAAACAACCCACCTATTTTTAAAATTTAACTTTTATTTTTTACTAAAGTAATGTTTGTATCCTATCTAAAATATAAAATAATTCTACGAGGCTTATAACTACTTTCCCTTTCCCGCTCCAGTTCCTTCAAGTGTTTCTTCCCAAATCTGTCTCCATAGTTCTGAACGGTGTACGGATACTGCTCTTTTCAGTTTTAGTATCTTCTGACATCTTTCCTCTTTGAGACATCCACCCCGAAGCCCCTATTCTGCCCCAACCGGCCATGGATGCCCTCTCGGTCTCCTTACGCATTCAACCCACCTCGTGAGCTCAGACGGACGCCTGTGCCCACCCCTGCCTCCCGACAGTCATACTTCCCCAGGGACCAGGGACCAGGGACCGCCCCAACCCAGCCACGCCTCCCCCACGCCGAAAAGGGTGCGGATTTTGCCAACAGGTAGACGATCTTCTCCCGACTCACGTCCCCAATAGTGAAAGGCCGACTTTTTTACCCTTAGAGAAGCACAGCCAGTGCCTCTGATGCCGGCCAGCAACTAAAACCTCCGTGAGGGGTTGTTTCCGCCCACCCGCAGTGCACACAGCAGCCCTGACCTGGACGTGGAGGCCGGGCGGAGCTGGCGCTGCAGAAAGGCCACGGTCACAGTCCCGCAGGGTGACCACGGGGTGAACTCTCCGCAAGGCGGCCCGAATCCAAATACCTGGGCTTGGAGGTGGAGGCTGACAACCCGGCGCGCCTGCACGCTGCTGCGGGCGCCCGAGGCCGTTCCCACGGAAACAGCCCCGAGCACTCACGGCGCCTGCGCCTCTTCTCGCCCCGCCCCGGACCGGGACGGCAAGGGGCGGGCAGCGAGGAGGAGAACCCAGAGCCGGGACGGCCGCCTCGGGAGACGCCGGAACTTTCGAGGGCCGGGGCTGTGGGCCGTGGGGGGACGGCGGGACCGAACGCGCGAGCGCACCGAGGCTTCCGTCTCTCGCGAACCCCGTGGCGGCGCGCTCTCGGGGCGGCGTGAAGCGTAGGCAGGCTCCTCCCTCCGCGTTTCCTGCAGGCGCGCTCCTCGCCGGCGCACGCTCTCCGGCGTCCTGGCTGCCCCGGCCGTGGTCGCGGTGGTCCGAGCGGTGGCCTGGCTGCTGCTGCTCTGGGAGGCAGCTGAGCTCGCCTGCAAGTCCTCCGCGGCCCTCGCTGCCGCCCACACCGATGCGGGTAAAGGAAGGGGCGTGGCTGCGGGTTTGAGGTTGAGGGGTGGCAGCTGCTCGGACTCTGGGGGTCCTCTCCCCCGAGCGGTTTGCGGAGGTGCTTCTCTGTATCCCGGCGCGTCGGACTGTGGGGTGAGCTGGGGGAGGCTAAGCACAAAGGCCACGTGCCTCCTCTCTCTCGGGCTCCGCCGGCCACCCGCACGGCTCTCTGGACGTGGGGAGTCGGGCTCTGTTCTGGCCACACAGTCACGGAAATATTGTGAAGGAAGTACAGCGATGAAGCGTCTTGGGATGCTTGCAGCTTCTTGCACCACCAAGGAGCCGGCAAGGCCCCCTTGCCTGTGAAGTGTGAGAACCGCAGTCCTGAATACCGAGACGCCGGGGGCGTGGGAAGAGGACGGCGTCGTACAAATACTTTAATAGTACACTGGATTGCGCTGGGGTTTCTTGATGACTCTGGTTTAGGCAAGCGCGTTGGTTCATTTCTTTGGGCCCCAGTCCGTGGGCTGGAGTGCTGTGCTGTGTGTTGTGGATCCAACCCTGAGCTAAAAACACGCTGCCCTGACCCTCGTGGAGCTTTCAGTGGGTTGGGGAAGACATTCCACTGGTGATCCTATATAATAGAAGCCTAATATGCAAGTCGACTGAACGGGCACACTGACCACCAGGGGGTGGACACTCAACAGAGGAGCTGCCCCCAGCCCGCACGCCCCAGGCCAGCCAAGGCAGGGGGGAGGGAGGGAATTGAACCCAAAACCTTTTGGTTTATGGGACAGTGCTTCCAACTGAGCCACCCAGCCAGGAAAATGGCAATAGTTTTGACTGCCTATTTTGCTAAGGTTGTGAAACTCATGTGAAAGCCCCAAGTAAAGGATCTATCATATAGATATTAGTTAATAAATGTTAATTTTTCATACTTTTCCCTTCTGTTGTATATTTCAGATGTTTTAATCTCTATGACATGTTTTTTCATGCATCTTTTCAGGGATATATATATATATATATATATATATATATTTTGAATACAATATGGTTTTCATGTGTTTATTTTAATGGTCTTCCTACACACTGCCAGCTTTTGAAAATGAAATAAAATTATATAGCAAGGCACTTGGCAGAGTTGGTGATCTGATCATTAGTTATGATGCTCACATTAAGTAATAGTTTTAATGTCTGAATGTCAATGTTCTTAATTCCCATGAGTCTGTATAGTGAGATTTCTGGTTATTCTAAGTTTATAAAAGAACCTTTTGAAAAGACTCTAGCCCTGGACGGTTTGGTTCAGTGGTCAGAGCATCAGACCTTTGGACCAAAGGGTCAATTCCCAATAAAGGGCACGTACTACATCAAGGGCACGGTTGGGGCACGTGCAGGAAGCAACCAATTGATGTGTCTGTCTCTTAGATGTTTATCTCTCTTTCTCTTTCCTCCTCCTCCCTCCCTCCTTCCTACTCTCTCTAAAAGTCAGTGGAGGCCTGACTGGTATTTTCAGTGGTTGAGCATTGACTGATGAACTAGGAGGTCACGGTTTGATTCCTGGTCGGGGCACATGCCCAGGTTGCCGGCTCGATCCCCAGTGTGGGACGTGCAGGAGGCAGCCGACCAGTGATTCTCTCTCATTGTTGATGTTTCTCTCTCCCTCTCCCTTCCTCTCTGAAATCAATAAAGATATATTTAAAAAATTTGTAAAAAAGTCAATAGAAAAAATATTCTTGGGTGAAGATTAAAAAAAAAAAGACTCGTTTTTATTTTTGTTATTTTAAACCCTTCCAACATCTCCACAAGGCAAATGTACTGTCTTCTCAGTTTTATAGGTAGCTGGAATTAAAACAGATTTTCTGCCCTTGCTGGTGTGGCTCAGTTGGTTGGAGTGTTATCCGGATCTTACACCAAAAGATCACCTGAATAAAGTAATATTAATAACAAACACATATAGCACTATATGGTAGGACCTATTCTAACTACTTCATACTAGGTGTACCGGTTAGTAAATGGTGGATTTTGTAATCAAAGAAAACATGATAATTTCAAGAGAAACATCAAAAGTGCGTTATTAAAAGTAATGTCCATCACTAGCTACACATTTCCCCCACCTTCCAGGTAATTTCTGGGTACCGTCCCAATAGAACTTTTCTTGTTTTGAGGCAAACCATTCAGAGACCCAATTTTCCACTTCTTCGTACGTTTTGAAGTGCTGCTCAGAAAGTGTGTGTGCCATTGATCAGAACAAGTGGCAATCTGAAGGAGCAAGGTCTGGTGAATACGGCTGGTGGGTTAATACTTCCCAGGCAAGATCTTTTAATGTGTTTCTAACTGGTTTTGAAGTGTTAATGGTGCGTTATCATGAAGCAACATTACTTTGCTGTGTCTTCCAGAACATTCTGGTCGTTCCATGATCAAAGTGTGGTTCAAATTGATTATTTGTTGTCGGTAGTGATCAGTATTAACGGTTTCACCTGGTTTTAGAAGCTCATAATACACCACACCTTCCTGATCCCACCAAACGCAGAGCGTTGTCTTCTTTCCAAAGCGATTTGGCCTTGCAGTCAATGTTGATGGTTGATTTGGATCAACCCATGATTTTGTGCATTTGGGATTCTCAAAATAAATCCACTTTTCATCTCCAGTCACAATTCAGTGCAAAAAAAGACTTTCTTTTGTGCCATTGAAACAACATTTTACTGATGACTTTTTGGTTTTCCGTTTGTCTTTCATTCAGTTGATGTGGCACCCATTTTCCTTCCTTTAAAATCTTCCCCATTGTTGTAAATGATCGGAAATTGTTTGCTGACCAACGTTTAATCTTTCTGCAAGTTGGTTTTGAGTTTGACATGCATCTTCATCCAGTAATTGTAATTGTTGGTCTTCAAACTTTTTCAGTTGACCTGGACGTTCTTTGTCTTTCACATCGAAACCATCACTTTTAAAGCGCTTAAACCAGCGTTCACAAGTATCTTGAGATGGAGCATGTTCACCATAAGCTTCCCGAAGCTTTCACCAGCACTTTTCCTTCAAAATAAAGTAATGAATTAAAACTTCCCGCAAATGCTCTTTTTTTGGCATGAAATTCGACATTTTTAAGCATAAAAATATCTATGATGTTAACACCTTCAGCAAATTTGACATAAGTTTTGAAGCTTGCTGTCAATACAATGAAATAGCATACATATCAAATCGCATATATATCAACACATGTGAAACTCCATCTATTGAAAACTCCGCATTATTAACTGGTACACCTAGTATATTAAGTCTCATGACAACTAGCAGAGCAATAAACTATCTTATGTAAAGTCATACAGCTATTAAGTGACAGACAGGGTTTTGAAGGTAGGCAATCTAATTCTAAAGTCAATGTTCTTAATTCTCATTCTTTACTAGAAGTAGATTTATATGTAGCTCAACTTGCTTAAGTTTTACAGTTTTTGTTTCATTTTTAGGTTCGTTAGATTCTCCAGGCAAGTAAAGCCTATTAAAACAATTATTTTCTAATTATATAAGTATTCTTTCATTGAGTGCTTGTTTTATTAAAAATCAAATCTTTTGGTTCTTATAGGCATAAAGGCCAGTTGTTCTGAAATTATTTTGCGGCAAGAAGTTTTGAAACATGGTTTCCACAGGTAAGTTGCATGTTGACTTTTACTTGTATCAAAGTACTGTTTCATATATTTTAGAGCAAAAAATTAATAGTTGAAAAAGGGATAAAACTGAAAAAAAATCACGATTTCTTCCAGTCCTAAGTAGCAGATTTGTTATAATGTGGTTACAGTTTGAAATAATGATTAACCCATTGTACACCATAAGTGTCTGTAGACACAAGTGGCTGACCTTCCCCATACGCCACACGCATCTATTAAAAAAAAATGTTTTCCCTAAGTGGCAAACCTGACCAACTTAAGAATCAGTTTTCGTGAGAATTTTCAGCTGAAAATATTAAAGAACACCTGAATTGTAATATATATTTTTTTAATATATTTTATTGATTTTTTACAGAGAAGAAGGGAGAGGGTTAGAGAGTTAGAAACATCGATAAGAGAGAAACATCGATCATCTGCCTCCTGCACACTCCCTGCTGGGGATGTGCCCACAGCCAAGGTACATGCCCTTGACCAGAATTGAACCTGGGACCCTTGAGTCCGCAGGCTGACACTCTATCCACTGAGCCAAACCGATTAGGGCGTAATATATTTATTTTTATAATATTCATTGCAAATTGATTTTTTTAAGTAAATTCAAAATATCGTTGCGTGTGGGGATGGTTTCTGTTTTGGACGCATTATTGGTAGTTAACAGGTTAAAATAACTGGAGAAGATGCCCAGCTGGCATGACTCAGTGGTTGAACATCGACCTATGAACCAAGAGGTCACGGTTCCATTCCCAGTCAGGACACATGCCCGGATTTTGGGTTTGATCCCAACATCATTGATGTTTCTCTCTCTCTCTCCCTCTCCCTTCCTCTCTGAAATCAATGAGAATATATTTAATAAAAAAATAACTGGAGAAGAGGGGAAAACAAATGTTTACCATTTAACATATTTAGAATTTGTATATATGTAATATCCTATTTAATCTGCACAGTGGTTGTGAGATGATACCTTTCTTGTTTTTCAGATGTGGTAACTAGGGCTCAGAAAATTTAAATAACTTGGCAGTGGGTAGGGTGGTGGAGCTCTGGCTCCAATTTAGGACTATCGTATTCCAAGGCCATGCTCTCAAGTATTAAGATATTATACCACCCTAAATCACTATTTCTGACTTACAAGACTTGGTTCCAAATACCAAACTGTTTCCAAAATAGAAATTATCCTCAAAAATGAATATTTGCCAGTATTGAAAATTTTTTGAAGACCAGTAAAAAGTTGTGGAAACTGTTCCATAAGAAAACTTCCCAAACTTTAAAGCTTTTCAAGGTGATTACTTTGAAATGATTCTCAGATACTTGATTTAAAATTCTGATACATTTCTTTTTAAAATCACTTTGTTTTATAAGTCACCTTAAGCTAAAATATCTGATTCCCCTCATTCTTCAAGTTAGCCTATATGTGAATGACTAGGAGGTGTAGTAGAAAGAACTTGGATAGTTTTATGTTGTTTTTTCTTTGAACTCAGGCAGATTTAGGCTCAAAAGATAGCTCCATTATTTAGTATCTGCCTTTGGGAGGGAAGTCACTTCTGAAAGGAGTTTTAGACAGAGCCCTGACATATTTTAAGCCATGTCAGGGTAATTATGCCAATATTATTAAATATCTCTCAATAAAGTAATTGGCTATGTTCTCAAGAAATGGGTGCCTGGAGAGGCTATTGTGAAGGCAAAAATAGCTGTCCAGACGTAAGTACTACAGATAAAAAGCAGGACATAAAACCAAGTATGAAGAGTGATAGAACCCACACAGCTTCCAAAACTAGAAATCTGTTATTTGAGACCTTCAGAATAGGCCAGTAATCATTGTTTTAAAAAAGGCTTTTTAGTTATATGTAGAGCAGGTGTAGTCTTGCTGCTAGGGTGGATGAGGAAACATTAATAGATTATAGAAAGTAGAATTTGTTAGCTCCTCCTATTTCTATCTTCTTGGTCAAGAAGAATCACTTCTGCCCTAACCAGTTTGGCTCAGTGGATAGAGTGTCGGCCTGCGGACTGAAGGGTCCCAGGTTCGATTCCGGTCAAGGGCATGTACCTTGGTTGCGGGCACATCCCCAGGAGGGGGTGTGCAAGAGGCAGCTGATGGATGTTTCTCTCTCATCGATGTTTCTAACTCTCTATCCCTCTCCCTTCTTCTCTGTAAAAAATCAATAAAATATATTTTTAAAAAAAGAAGAAGAATCACTTCTGGGGTGGAAAGTGGGCTAAGGGTCAATGGGGGGAAAAAGGAGGAAGTATGTAATACTTTCAACAATAAAGATTTAAAATGAAAAAATCAAATTAAAAAAGAAGAAGAATTACTTCCACTTTGGGAAGGGTCAAGCAAATAGTAGTAGTAGGAAACTGAAGTGCAGAATATGCAAGGTAAGTATGCAAAAGGGCTTTGCTACTATAAATGATTATAGGATCTCCCCTCTCTGATGAACTGTATCTCTTTTAGTAGGAGAACTTGCTTAAATGATTGCTGAACTTCTGTTTGTAGCCTTTGGATAATTTGGAAATTAGTTGATATTTCTGGGCAGAATTCTAGACCAGATTATTAAAAGAATGGTTTGTGCATACAGAGGAAGTGGTGGTCTCTTGGAATTAGTATTAATTTATTACAACTTATTTCCTTTATAGAGTTACTAGATAGGTAGATCAGAGAAATGCTATAGCATTTCCATATAACTTTTGGAATGAACTTGTAGATTTCCTCAAAAAAGCTTCATGAAATTTTGGTTAGGATTCTGTTGAAACTCTTGATCAATTTGTAGAGAACTGATATGTGAACATTAATGAGTGTTCCAATGCATGCATATGGCATTTATTCATTTAGGGTTTATTAGGTTAATCTTAACAGTATTGTAACTTTCAGAGTATATGTCTTACATATATTTTGTTAAATTTATTCCTAAGTATTTCATGTTTTTTGATGTAAAGAGTATTGTTTTAAATTTTTCATTTCTACTTGTTTGTTGTTAATAATAGAAATACAATTGATTTTTGCATGATGATATGGTACCCTGATTCCTTGTGAAATCACTTATAAATGCCTATAGTTTTTTTTGTAGACTCTTTAAGCTCTTCTACATATATGGCCATGGGTTTGCAAATAAAGACAATCTGTATGCGTTTTACACCTTTTCCTTCCCTTTTTGACCTTGGGTGTCTAATACAATATTGAATAAAATTGTTGCTATTTACCCAGTCTATTAATCTCTAAATTCTAATTGGAGTGATTCGACCATTTACTTTTAGTAAATATTGGTTTGGTTGGGTTGGCTTAAATTTATCCATCTTGCTACTTTTTTTTATAATTTGTTTTTTCTATTTGGCCCATCTAGTCTTTTTTCCTCTCTATTTTCTTGCCTTATTTTGGATAAAATGAGTATTTTTTTAAGCATCTTGTTTTATTCCCATTTTTGGCTTATTAACTATACTTCTGTCTTTTTAATTGGTTACTTTAGAGTTTACAGTGTGCAATTTTAACTTATCACAGTCTACCTTCAAATAATATTATTTCACACCATGAATAATGTGTGCCTCTTATATCAGAATAGTTCATTTCCTTCTCCTTTCTTTTATGCTATTGTTGCCATACATTTATTAACTTTACATTTTACTTACATTGTAAACCCGACCATATATTGTTATTATTTTTGCTTTGAAAACTCATATATTTTTACATTATTATTTAATTGTGGTAAAAAACCCATAACATAAAATTTACCATCTTAACCCTTTTAAAGTGTACACTTCAATTACATTAAGAACATTTACACTGTTGTTTTACCATCACCACCATCCATATACAGAATTCTTGCAAAACTGAAACTCTGTACCTCTTAAACAATTTACTCCCTTTTCTCCCCTTCTCCCAGCCTTTAGCAACCACCATTCTACTTTCTGTCTTTTTTTTTTTAATATATTTTATTGATTTTTTACAGAGAGGAAGGGAGAGGGATAGATAGTTAGAAACATTGATGAGAGAAAAACATCGATCAGCGGCCTCCTGCACACCCCCCACTGGGGATGTGCACACAACCCAGGTACATGCCCTTGACCAGAATCGAACCCGGGACCTTTCAGTCTGCAGGCCGATGCTCTATCCACTGAGCCAAACCGGTCAGGGCTCTACTTTCTGTCTTTATGAATTTGACTATTGTATGTACTTATACAAGTGGAATTATACAGTATTTGCTTATTTCACAAAGCATAATGTCCTGAAGTTTCATTCATATTAATTTCTTGTGTAATTGTCATACTTGTTGTTTGTTTTTTTAAAATATATTTTTATTGATTTCAGAGAGGGAGAGAGAGATAGAAACATCAATGATGGGAGAGAGTCATTGATCGGCTGCCTCCTGCATGCCCCAAACCGGGAGCCCACAACTAGGCATGTGCCCTGACAGGGAATCGAACAGTGACATCCTGGTTCATCAGTCGATGCTCAACTATTGAGCCTTGCCTGCTGAGCATACTGTTTTCAATAGTGACTGCACCATTTTACATTCCCACCAACAATGCTCAGTGGTCCAGTTTCTCTACCAATATTTGAAGACAATTAAAAAATGAGAGAAAATGTTTTTATATTCGCCCATGTATTTACCATTTGCTCTTCTGTCATTATTTTTTTAATACAGGGGTCCTCAAACTATGGCCCGCGGGCCACATGCAAATACAAATATTGTATTTGTTCCCGTTTTGTTTTTTTACTTCAAAATAAGATATGTGCAGTGTGCATAGGAATTTGTTCATAGTTTTTTTAAAAAACTATAGTCCGGCCCTCCAGCGGTCTGAGGGACAGTGAACTGGCTCCCTGTTTAAAAAGTTTGAGGACCCCTGTTTTAATATATGTATTTTTTTATTTCAGAGAGTAAGGGAAAGGCAGAGAGAGATAGAAACATCAGTGATGAGAGCGAATCATCTATCAGCTGCTTCTTGCACATCCCCCTACTGGGAATCAAGCTCGAAACCCGGGTGTGTGCCCTGACCAGGAATCAAACCGTGATCTGTTGGTTCATGGGTTGACACTCAACCACTGAACCACACCGGCTGAGCCTGTCTTTCTTATAGATCCAAGTTTTCTTCAATTTTTTTTTTTACCAAGCTTTCGTCTGATATTTTTTTTACTGCCTGAAGTATTTCCTTTACCATTTATTTTAGGGACAAGTTCTCTTAGTTTGTGTTTGTCTTAATCTTTATTATATACTAGAGGCCCAATGCACGAAAATTCATGCAAGAGTAGGCCTTTCTTCCCCCGGCTGCCGGCACCGGCTTCCCTCTGGCACCAGGGACCGGGGCTGGCTTCCCTCAGGCCGCCTGCAGTCACCCGGGATCCAGACTGGCTTCCTTTGGGCCACCTGCAGTCACCCAGGACCTGGCTGGCTTCCCTCCAGCCCTGGCTTCGTCAGGAAAGATGTTTGGAAGACGTCCAGTCTATTAGCATATTACCCTTTTATTATAGATACCTCCTGGATATATAATTCTAAATTGATAGCTTTTTTCTTTTAATACTTTACATACATCATTCCATTGTCCTCTGGTATATTATTATCTTTGTTACTCTCTACATAATGTTCATTTTTCCTCTCATTGCTTAAAAAATTGTTTTTTTCAGTGACTTGATAATAATATGTCTTGGTGTGGGATTGTGTGTGTGTGTGTGTGTGTTGATCCTGCTTGGTATTTGGTGAGCTTCTTGGATTTATAAGTTTATAGTTTTCATGAAAATCAGAACAATTTCAGCCATTACATAATCTTCCAATTTTTTTTCTGTTACATTCTCTCCTCTTTTTCTGGTCTCTTCCCCTCTCTCTCTCTCTCTCTCTCTCTCTCTCTCTCTCTCTCTCTCTCTTGATATTCTTCACTTGATATTGTTGAAAGATCTCTGAAATTGTTCCTCCTCCCCCAATTCTTTTTTCCTCAATTATGCTTCAGTTTGGATGGTTTCTGTTGCTGTGTCTCCAAGTCACTGATCTTTTCTTCTTCAGTGTTTAAATGCTTTTAATCATATCAGGATAGTTTTTATTCCAGAAATTAAGTTTCTCATCTCTTAAAGTTGCATTCAGTTCTTTATATATATACTAGAGGCCTGGTGCATACAATTTGTGCATGGGGGGGGGGGGTCCCCTCAGCCCAGCCTGCATCCTCTCCATTCTGGAACCCCTTGGGGGATGTCCGACTGCTGGTTTAGGTACAATCCTGGGGATCGGGCTGTCGGACATCCCTCTCACAATCCGGGACTGCTGGCTCCTAACTGTTCACCGGCCTGCCTGCCTGATCGCCCCTAACTGCTCCCCCTGCTGGCCTGGTCACCCCCAACTGTCCCCCCTGCCGGCCTAGTTGCCCCCAACTGCTCCCCCCCTGCCAGCCTGGTTGCCCCTAACTGCCCCCCCACTGGCCTGGTTGCCCCTTACTGCCCCCTCTGCTGGCCTGGTCGCCCCCAACTGCCCCCCCACCGGCCTGGTCACCCCACACAGCCTGCTGCTCGGTCGTTGGGTCGCCCCTCACTAACCCCTCTAGCCCCCCCACTGGACTGGTCGCCCCACACAGCCTGCTGCTTGGTCGTCGAGTCGCCCCTCATTAACCCCCCCTGCTGGCCTGGTTGCCCCACGCAGCCTGTTTGGTCGTCTGTTCGGTTGTCCGTTCGGTTGCAATGGTCGCTTAGGCTTTTATAGAGAGAGAGATTAGAGGCCCTGTGCACGAAATTCGTGCACGGGTAGGGTCCCTAGCGGCTGCCGGCCGCCAGCCGGGGCCTTCCTTCCCTTGCTGCCAGATGCCGGCGGGGGCCTCCCTTCCCCGGCTGCTGGCTGCCCGGGCCTTCCTTCGTTCTGCACCGCTCCCTGGTGGTCAGCACACATCATAGCGAGCAATTGAACTCCCAGTCGGTTGAACTCCTGAAAGGACACTTTGCTTATTAGGCTTTTATATAGAGAGCTATTTCTTCTCTTTCCCTCATAATGTTTGTGTTTTTCTTTAAATTCTTGAATATAATAGGTATATTTATAATGACTTAATGTCCTTTGCTAATTTTGTCACTTCTGTCATTTCTAATCTGTTTCTATGAATGATTTTTTTCTTGGTTATTGGTCACATTTCCCTGATTCTTTGCATGTTTGTAACTTTGGATTGGATACTGAATATTGTGAATGTTGTAGATATGAACCTTTTTGAGTGTGTGGATTTTATCTTCTTTTAAAGGGTGTTGGGTTTGTTTTTTCTGTTAGAGTTTTAAGTTACTTGTTTATCAGCTTGATCCTTTTCACCTTTTTTATGTAGGCCTAAAGTTAAAAGTGGCCATTACTGCAAGGCTAATTTAGCTGCTAAGGCTTTACCCTATCAGGATTTCAACTGAAAGCTTTGGTTGGTATCCCCATTGGGATTTCTATACTTTGGTTAGTTGGAATGCAAATGTCTCCCTACCTTTTGTAAAATTTTAGAATTTCTCGTCTTTTAGTTCCCTGGTCATTCTGTGCCCATCTTGTGGAGTTACGCCTCACTCATGCTTATCTTAGTATTCAACAGAAACTCAAGGGAACTCCCCAATTCAGGTTTCTAGAGCTCTTTATGCATAGTTTCCTCCTCTCTGGAACTTAGTGCTGTGACTTCCAACCACTTCAGCTTTCCTAAACTTTATTTTTTAAATATATTTTTATTGATTTCAGAGAGGAAGAGAGAAGGAGAGAGAGAGAGAGAGGGAGAGAGAGAGAGAGAAAGAGAGAAAGAAACATCCTGCACGCCCCTACTGGGGATTGAGCCCACAACCCTGGGCATGTGCCCTTGACTGGAATTGGACCTGGGACCCTAGAGTCCGTAGGCCAATACTCTATCCACTGAGCTGGCGAGGGCAGCTTTCCTTAACTTTTATTTCTCACCTAAGTGAAAATAGCATGCTGTGCTTTGGGTCTCATTCACTGCACTTGATCCAAAACGTGCCTCCAGGCAGAAAGCCGGGACAATTAACAGTTAGATTTATAGTCTATTTCAAATTAATTTTTGTATATCCAATTGTTTCAGTTCCATTTTTTGAAAAGACTATCCTTTCCTCATCAAATTATATTTGAACCTTAATCGAAAAATTGTGTACGTCTATTTTTGGACATTATCCCTTTCTATTGGTCTTTTTTTTTTTTCACACTAATACAACTATTTCCAATCTGTTTCATCTCATGGCACATATAAACTAATTACTAAAATTCTGTGGCACACCAAAATATGTATTTTTTGCCAATCTGACAAAAAATATAGGTATAATTTTGATTCATTCACATGGGATGGCTACTGTTGTCATTTTTTTGTGCCTTTTGCTGGTTGAAAATCACTGCATTAATATAATACTACCAGAGGCCCAGAGCACGAAATTCATGCACTGGAGGGGAGGGGCGGGGGGAGGGGTTCCCTCAGCCCGGCCTGCACCCTCTCACAGTCTGGGAGCCCTCGGGGGATGTCTGACTGCTGGCTTAGGCCTGGGGAGTGTGGGGAGCAGGCCTAAGCCGTAAGTCGGAAACCCTTAGCGCTGCCGCGGAGGCAGGAGAGGCTCCTGCCATTGCCACTGCTCTTGCCAGCCATGAGCCCGGCTTCTGGCTGAGAGGCGCTCCCCTATGGGAGCGTATTGACCACCAGAGGGCAGCTCCTGCATTGAGCGTCTGTGTCTGGTGGTCAGTGCGCATCATAGCAACCGGTTGTTCCGCTGTCCGGTTGATTTCCATATACCCTTTTATTATAGAGGATGGCTTATGGCATGAATTTATGAAAGATCTAATGGGTGATTCTGACATGAGATAAATATTTCATTTGACTTTATAGTCTCTTTATAATTTTTAAAATAGTGTTTCTACTAATTTGAATGTAATGTTATGCTATCTCATTAACAATTTAATGAAGAGATTTTCTCTGAACATACTTGTCTTACAGAGACCTTTTAATGAAAGTGAAATTTGGAGAAAGCATTGAGGACTTACAGACCTGCCGACTCTTAATTAAACAGTACATCCCAGCAGGACTTTTTGTGGATCCATATGAGTTGGCTTCATTACAAGAGAGAAACGTAACAGAGGTACAACTGTTAGAGGATTTTTACAAATATTAGAGCATTATTTTGAGAGATTTTTTTAAGGGATGCTATAATTTGGATAAGGCAAAATAGTACGTAAAAAAACACTAGATACATTTGTAAAAGTGTATCAAGTAACATTTTTTAGGTAGAATAGGAGTATTCTTTAATAAGTGAGTGATACTTGTCATACTTGTCAGTAGTAAGCCAACTAAACTGAGCTGATTAAATGCTTTTTGACAGTATGGTTCCCAGTTAGTGACTAAGAAAATGAACAATTAATAAATACTGTTTCAATAGCAACTTTGTTAAATTAGAGAGACATACCCAACAGCTGTATAATTTGAGTATGGGAGGAAAAGATATTAATATTTACTGGATCTCTATATGCCAGGTATTTTCTTCTTCTTTTTTAAAGAAGCAAGGTAAAATAAGCATTAAAGAAAGATTATGTCCCACTCCTTTACATAGATTAATCTTTATAGCAACCCTGGGAGTATTATCTCTATTTAATAGTTAAGGATACTGAAGCACAAAGAGGCCAAGCTTATCCAGGATCACATGGGCACATGAAAGAAGAGCCAAGAAATGAAGCCAAGGTTGTCTAATTGCAATTGTTGCTCTTTCCAGAAAGGAATCTTACTCCTTAGTTAAGGATTTCCCTAACTTCAATTAGAATCACCTTAGTTAGGGTTTCCCTACCTTCATTAAGAGTCACCTGTTCAATTTAGTCATGACTCGGTTGAGTACCTTCTCATGTACCTTAGGGTTGCCAGTTTGATTCCTGGTTGGGGCACATACCCAGGTTGCGGGTTACCCTGGTTGGGATGCATATGGGAGGCAACCAATTGTTGTTTCTCTCTCTCTCCCTCTCTTTTCTCTGTCTCTAAAATCAATTAAAAAAAATAAAATCTGTATTACACTTTTATGTTAATAATAAAGAAAAGTGTGTGTGTGTACGGTGATGGGGGTCTATGGGGTGGCTGTATTTTCTGCTTGTTTTTTTCTGTAAACCTAAACCTGCTCTAAAAAATACAGTGTATTAATTTTTTAAAATGTTTTTATTGATTCTGGAGAGAGGAAGGGAGAGGGAGAGATAGAAACAACAGTGATGAGAGAGAATCATCGATCAACTGCCTTCTCCACGCCCCCTACTGGGATTGAGCCCACAACCCAGGGCATGTGCCCTGACTGGGAATTGAACCATGACTTCCTGGTTCAGGGGTCGACACTCAACCACTGAGCCACACTGGCCAGGCTAAAGTCTATTACTTTTTAAAAAAGAATATATCTATAGCTATATCATACTGAAAAAAGACTGCTAAAAAGCTAATGCAATTTTTGCTTAAGGAAGGAAATACTGCTATTATAGTCCTTGAGTGTTTTCCAATGGCAACTAATGTGATGAATGGCTTGGAAACCAAGTCATGAAAAACGGAGAGAACTGTGAATATTTTTGGGGGGAAGAGAAGATGTGGAGGCAGCATGATTGAGGACCTCTGATGTTTGAGGAATCTTAGTGAAATAAGGAACAGATTTACTGAAGACATTGTAAGCACAGATAATTGGTGATTGTTATAGGCCAGAGCATCCAGTTTCTTCTCATAGAAAAGGAATAACCTTTGAACAGTAGATAAAATGAGATGACTCAGTCATTGAAAGTAATCAATTAGTGGCTGGATACTTGAGAAAAATATCCTCATTGAGACAGTGGTTTAATTTGAACACCTCTGAGGTTCCTTATGACTCATAAGATTATATAATTCCTTGACCTTTGCCATAAGTTCAACAACTTGTATATATGTGTGTTCTTTAATATATCAACATGTATGCATACATATATGGATACATAATACATATACATGTGCATATTATAATTCAGGGTTAATTTCTGTCACGCATGCAGTTGTACTTTTGGTGTAGAATACTTATTTTAAAATGGTTTTTACCATATTATTTTTTTAAGGAGTAATTCACTATTTTTTCCATTACCTTTTTATACCCAGTGTAGAAAGAGTGCTGACCTTTGCTTTGACTTCCTGACCACAGTGATCTATCTCACTACCACCTTACTTGCTTCTCTGAAGAACAGGAAATTACCAGAATGATACCAATCATTTTTACTCAATACTGGGTTAACTGTTTTTTGTCATAGTTTTCATACTTATGGAACCATGCTACACTTATTCACAAAATTTCTCTTTTCTTGGTACCTGTTTTATCACCTAAACAAAGGTTGATAAGGAGATTACATAGAAATAATTTTAATTGTGGGAAAATTTCCTCAGTTTACTTTTAGTAAACAAACTTTTATTAAACACAGATCACATCTTATGTGTTCTTAACTTAAGGATGGAAGGGGAATAGAAATTGTTTATAAGGGGGATGAATTTTAAATTTCTTTTCACCTGTATAGCAGTCTTCTGGTTTAGTTTTGTTTTTTAAATCTTCCTCATTCATTTTTTTTCTCTTGGATTAATATTTGTTTTGTTTTGACAGGCAGTCATGGTTTCAGAAAATTTTAATATAGAAGCTCCCAACTATTTGTCCAAGGAATCTGAAGTTCTCATTTATGCCAGACAAGATTCACAGTGCATTGATTGTTTCCAAGCTTTTTTGCCTGTGCACTACCGCTATCATCGGCCACATAGTAAAGATGGAGAAACCTTTATTGTGGTCAATAACCCAGATTTACTGATGTATTGTGACCAAGGTAAGGGTTGCATATCTTTTCTGAGGGTTGAAAATAAAAATAAAGGTATGGTGGCAGGTTTGAAATCAAGGGATAACAAAAGCATGTTTCTTTTTTCTTTCTTTTTAACTTTTTGATTGTAAAATAGAACATAGCTATAGAAAAACTTCACAAATACGTAGTTTAGTGAGTTATTATAAGGCAGATGTCCTTGAAATTACCACGCAGGTCAAGAAATAGCACTTTGCCAGCCACTCGAGCAGCTGCTCTATGTATCATGACTCAAACATAGCTTCCTCCTTTCTCCTAAGACTAAACCCAGTATCCTGACATTTAATCACTTCCTTTTATTTATTTTAAAAATATATATTTTTATTGATTTCAAAGAGGAAGGAATAAAGAGATAGAAGAATCAATGATGAGAGAGAATCATTGATTGGCTGCCTCTTGCAAGCCCCCTACTGGAGATTGAGCCTGCAACTCAGGCATGTGCCCTTGTCCAGGATTGAACCCAGGACCCTTCAGTCTGCAGGCTGACGCTTTATCCACTGAGCCAAACCAGCTAGGGCAATCACTTCCTTTTGTAGATAATTTATATCTACATATAATTATCTGTACATATAATCCTATCTAGTAAAAGAGAAACATGGTAATTAGCTGTACCTCCGCTACCCTTCCCATTGGCTAATCAGGGTTATATGCAAATTAACTGCCAGCCAAGATGGCGGCCGGCAGCCAGGCAGCTTGAAGTGAACATGAGGCTTGCTTGCTCCAGTGACGGAGGACTCCAACGTTCCCCACCTGCCGCTGCGGGCCTCTGAGCTTGCAGTTTGAAACATTGTTACAAATATAGAAGCTAAACAAAACCCCAGAATCCTGCTTTCAGCCAGCCGGTATCTCAGAGCTGGAGTTGAAACAGTGTTTCAATTATAGAACCCAAACAAACCAGATACCTGCTTTTAGCAGCGGAAGCCTAAGAGCTGCAGGCAAGCCTCAGAGCTAAAGCTGTCCCAGAATAAAAAAAGAAAAAAGAAAAAAAGTAAAAGGGTAATATGCCTCCCAGCACTGGGATCAGTGGAGCCGCGAGGCCTCCCAGCACCGGGATCAGCGTGACGGGGCAGCGCCCAAACCCCCTGATTGCCCTGCGGTTCTGTGTGTGACAGGGTGCGGCACCCCAACCCCCTGATCCGCCCTGCTCTGTTCATGACAGGGGGCGGTGCACCGGGCCTCTAGTATATATTATAATATATATATAGTTTATATATAATATATACTAGAGGCTCGGGGGGTGGGGGAGGGGTCCCTCAGCCCGGCCTGTGCCCTCTCGCAGCCTGGGACCCCTCAGGAGATAACGACCTGCTGGCTTAGGCCTGCTCCCGGGTGGCAGAGGGCAGGCCCAATCCCTAGGTGCAGCCCCTGGTCGGGCTCAGAGCAGGGCCAATTGGGGAGTTGGGGCGCCACCCCCTGTCATGCACAGAGCAGGGCGATCGGGAGGTTGCGATGCCACTCTCAGTCACGCTCAGGGTAGGGCCGATTGGGGGGTTGGGGGCCGTCCCCTGTCACACTCAAGGCAGGGTCGATGGGGAGGTTGCGGCGCCACCCTCTGTCACGCACAGAGCAGGGCCAAGCAGGGGGTTGGGGCGCTGCCCCCTGTCACGCACAGAGCAGGTCCCATCAGCGGGTTGGGGCGCCGCCCTCTATCACCCACGGAGCAGGGCCGATCAGGGGAGGTTATGGCTCTACCCCGTCACACACAGAGCAGGGCCCGGGGGGGGGGGGGGGCGCCACACACAGAACAGGGCCCGTGGCAGGGGGGGGTGCCGCACCCTGTCACACACAGAGCAGGGCCAATCAGGGGGTTGGGACGCCGCACCCTGTCACACACAGAGCCGCAGGGCGATCAGGGGGTTGGGGAGCTCCCCCCTATCAGGCACAGAGCAGGGCTGATCAGGGGGGTTGGGGTGCCTTCCCCTGTCATGAACAGAGCAGGGTGGATAGGGAGGTTGTGGCCCCGCCCCCTGTCACACGCAGAGCCACAGGGTGATCAGGGGGTTTGGGCGCTGCCCCCTGTCACGCTGATCCCGGTGCCGGGAGGCATCGCAGCTCCGCTGATCCCGGTGGTGGGAGGCATATTACCCTTTTACTATATAGGGTAGAGGCCTGGTGCATGGGTGGGTGCGGCTGGTTTGCCCTGAAGGGTGTCCTGGATCAGGGTGGGGGTCCCCACTGGGGTGCCTGGCCAGCCTGGGTGATGGGATGATGGCTGTTTGCAGCTGGTCACACACCCTTCAGGGTGGGGGACCCCACTGGGGTGCCTGGCCAGTCTGGGTGAGGGGCTGAGGGCTGTTTTCAGGCTGGGGGTGACTGAAGCTCCCAACCGCTCCTTTTTTTTCTTTTTTTTTCTTTTTTATTCTGGGCCAGCTTTAGCTTTGAGGCTTGGCTCCAGTTCTTAGGCCTCCGCTGCTGAAAGTAGGTTTCTGGCCTTTGCTTACAATGTTGCGATTCTGCTGGCTGAAGCCCGGGACTAAAGCAGGTTTCTGGGGTTTTGTTTAGCTTCTATATTTGTTACATAGTTGCTTAGAGTTGCAGCTCAGAGGCCTGCAGCAGCTGGCGGGGAACGTTGGAGTCCTCCGTCACTGAAGCAAGCAAGCCTCATGTTAGTTTCAAGCTGCCTGGCTGCCGGCTGCCATCTTGGCTGGCAGTTAATTTGCATATTGCCCTGATTGGCCAATGAGAAGGGTAGCGGTCATACGCTAATTACCATGTTTCTCTTTTATTAGATAGGATATATATATATATTTTCTATACTAGAGGCCTGTTGCATGAATTTGTGCATGGGTGGGGTCCAGCTGCCTGCCCTGATGGGGGCTGATTGAGCCAGGCTGCCGTGGGGAGGAGCTGTGAAAGGTTTAGGGGAGCCGATTGGGGCCCCGATCGAGTTGGTTGGCCACCACAGTGCGTGTCACAGCTACCGGTTGTTCCAGTCGCTTGGCTTTTATATATATCCTCCTATATAATAAAAGGCTAATATGCAAATTGTCTCCTCAGGAATTCGACCAGCTGGGAGTTCGACTGCTCGCTATGACGTGTGATGACCACCAGGGGGTGGCATGGAGCGAAGGAATGCCCCAGCTGCAGCTAGGGAATGAAGGCCCCGGCTGGCAGCCAGGGGAAGGAAGGCCAGGGACCCTACCCATGCACGAATTTCGTGCACTGGGCCTCTGGTAGATATATAAAAGCCTAAGCGACCGAACGACTGGTTGACCAGTCACTATGACACGCACTGGACACCAAGGGGCAGACACTCAACACAGGAGCTGCCCCCCTGGTGGTCAGTGTGCTCCCACAGCCAACCTCCTGTGGCTGGCCAACCTCCCGTGGTCCCTCCCCCAGGCTGGCTGCCCCAATCGGCCTCCATCACTGGCCAGGCTGAGGGACCCCACCTGTATATGAATTTGTGCACCACGCCTTTAGTGTGTGTGTGTGTGTGTGTGTGTGTGTGTGTGTGTGTGTACATATGTATTATTTCAGAGAGAAGAAGGGAGAGGGAGAAAGCTAGAAACATCAATGATGAGAGAGAACAATCCACTGCCTTCTGCACACCCCCTACTGGGCACTGAGCCCACAACCCCCACACGTGCCCCAACCAGCAATCAAACTGTGATCTGGTTCATGGATCAACACTCAACCACTGAGCCACACCGCTGGGCCCTTATATTTATTTATGCTTTTATCACCCAAGTATATGGATGATATGACACACTATAGCTTAGTCTTGCCCATTTAACATTTTTCTCAGAGTTGGGGTTTTGGTGATAGTAATCATGCAGTTCATCTGACCTCTTTATTTCTTGGAAATTGGCACCTGGCTCAGGGGTGTGATTAGATCCAGGTTTGCTTCTTTTGGCAAGTGCTGTGTTCCTTCATAAGTAGGTGTAAATGTCTGGTGTGCTTCTTTTTCAGCCATTGATCCTCATTGCCCCTTTGCTGCTTTCTGTTTATTCATGCTGACATCACCGTGCTTATTGCTGTTGGTGTTTTCTTTAAACCTGCACGTATTTGGTGTGTGAGGGTACTTTATCACCTAGTTTTTCTATAAATGTAGTCCATGAGTTTTTGGTTTTGTGAGTAATTGTTCTGTTTTAATGTGTAGATTTGAGTAAATTAAAAAAAAAAATTGCTTTTACCATTTTCAGTTTTCCTAGAATGAAGACTTTAATTTAAGAAACCCCTTTCAGATTTTTGGCTCTTTGTGCCTCCAAAATTGGGCTGATTTGAATGTTTGCAAAAGTTAGTAGCACTGTTACTAAAGACTGGCAGATAGGAAGTTTTTAATCCATACATTTGCTGCCATCATATATTTCATGATGAAAAAATAAAAAAGCATTCAACTCTGTTAGCTTTGTTCATCCAACCTAGGTTTCTGTTTCTATTAATGATATTGACTTACCTTAAATAAAGTTTGAAAATGTGTTCCCCCTGAGAGAGCATCTGGGGTTCTGATGTTATTTGGGTTTTGGTCTGAAAGCTCTTTATGGGTGTGTTTACACCTGGACATTTATTGAATTGGATGCTTAGGACCTGTTCATTGTTCTAAATATGTGTTATATTTCAAGAAAAAAAGTTTAAATTAAAATACTTTAAAAAATGGCCTCTAGTATAATGGGATTTGTTTAAAAGTCATGCACAGTCTTTGTAATTTCATAATTTCTTAGGCATTCATTTAAAACAGGCTGTTAAAATAAAACAATATGTGATAGATGGAGCCAAATCATGTACACTGTGTATTAAAATGTTTGAATACTCATATCCCAAAATGACAAAATTGGCCTAGCCTCTAGTCCAGATTAAAGTTTTGTGATATGATTTTCTACCACTTTTTCTCAGAGTTTCCAATTTTGAAGTGCTGGGCTCAGTCAAAAGTGGCAGCTCCTTGTACTTTGAAGAGTAAGGATATTTGCCAATGGAACAATATGAAATATAAATCAGTAAGTTAGTATTTTATATTTTTAGGTTGTACTGCCTCATTTAAAATTCTTTCTATAATGTTTCTGCCACATTTAAGGGATTAGACTTTTATATTTTACCATAGAAAGCTTTTTTTTTTGTAATGTCATTTCTTTGCTGCGGATGACAACGGTGGTTCCTGGTTTATATAGAATCATTTAATTTGGGGGATGGAGATTTAGTGTTAGTCCCATGCCTCATTGGTCCAGAGCTTAAGTATAGCTGATAGGTGATTAAAGGTGTGAAATGGCCAAGAAAAACAGTGGTATATCCTCAGGTATAAACTTTATTTAGAACTTTTTATTAAATTTTGAACAAAATAAATTAGTTAACTTCATTGTATTATACAGAATAAGTGAAAAAAAAGGATAATAAAACTCAAATTAGTATTATTTCAACTGTGATAGTTTTTAGACAGTTGTCTAAGAAGTCTACAGTTTTCTTCTTATCTTCTTATGTTAACACTAGAGGCCCAGTGCACGAATTCGTGCATGTGTGGGGTCCCTCAGTCTGACTGGCAATCAAGGCCTATGGCGGGGGTGGCGGGCGGCCAGGAGGGAAGGGGCCACAGGAGATTCCTGTCGGGGTGATCAGGGCCTGCCGGCTGTGGGGAGGGACCATGGGAGATTGGCGGGCCATGGGAGGTTCCTGTCGGGGTGATCGGGGTCCGCCGGCTGCAGAGAGGGACCATGGGAGGTTGGCGGGCCACGGGAGGTTGGAAGTGGGAGTGCACTGACCACCAGGGGCAGCTTCTGCATTGAGCGTCTGCCCCCTGGTGGTCAGTGCACATCATAGCGACTGGTTGACCGGTCGTTCCAGTCATTCAGTCATAATGGTCATTTAGGCTTTTATACATACTTCTTGCCTCTCTTCAGAGTGGTTAAGTTTTTTTCCATTGATTTTTAAAGGAAGTGAGAGGCAGGAGTGGGGGAGAGAGAGAGAGAAATATGTATGTGAGAGAGACACATCAACTGGTTGCCTCCAACACACACCCCTAGTGGAGCCAGGGATCAAACCTGCAACTGAGGTATATGTCCTTGACCTGGAATCGAACCCATGGGTTAATGCTCTAACCACTGAACAAACCAGCCCCTCTCCTCTTCTTGGAGGTCTGGGGTGGGACTGAAAGTTCCAACTCTCTTATCACATGGTTAGCTCCATTGGCAACCAGTCCTCATCCTTAGGTGCTTTCCAAAAGCTACTTCACCAACATAAAAGACACCATGCTTACCCTTAACACTTAGGAAATTCCAACAGTTTGGGGAGCTTTGAGCTAGAAAGGGAATGAAAACCAAATACGTATGTCTTATATAAAACACAATGTCACACATATGTTACCATAATTTTTTTCAAACTCTAAAGTACATCTGGAGAATTACATTTAAGAGTATGTGAATGAAGAGTATGATTAGTGTTTGTTTATGATTTATTGATTTAAAAATTGGTAATGTGCATTGCTATGAAATAAGTAATTACCCTGTTAAAATATTTTGAATTCAATTCTCTTTAAGACCATGTAACTTGAAATAAGAAGTCATACTTAAGCTATTTGATTTTTTTTTCTTTACTTTGAGTTATAGGTGGCCATTACTAAGGTGGTGATCTATATTAAGGCTTGTTTGCTTAAGATGCCATTTTTTAAGATTATAATTTTCAAATAGCACTTTGTTACAGATTGTGGTGATAAAATAATCTTTTTTGGATATGAAATTATAATCCAGGTATTTATAAAAACAAGCTGAAAATAAAAATATTCCCAAATTTTAATGTTTTTAAAAACTTATTTTTAAACCAAAAAATTTCCCAAAGTTTCTAATTGAACCTTTTGTCTTCAAAACCAAATAGAAAATAGAAACTAAGTTGAATCTGCAACTTCTTTTACATGGGACAACACTCAACCAACTGAACCACACCGGCCTGGCTGGCCTGGGTTTTTAAAAAGGATATACTCAATTCTATGTAAAATATAGAAAAAGTCAAAACTAATGAGAATTTAAGAATTATTGTGGGAATTGAGTCTGATTTATTTACATTAAATGTTCAATCCAAAAGAATCATTCAAACAATAATGTTAAATGTAGTGTAGAATTGGCTGAAGAATATTTAAAAGCCAAAAAATAAAAATAAAGAGATAGTGGTCTTACTTAGAACATCCATTTTAAATGTCTCTAACTTCTCTCTCCACAGGTGTACAAGAATGTGACTCTACAGGTTCCAGTGGGACTGACTATACATACCACTTTAGTATGTTCTGTAACTCTACTTATTACCATCCTGTGTTCTACTTTGATTCTTGTGGCTGTTTTCAAATATGGCCATTTCCCCCTATAAGTTTTCTGCAATTAAATGCTTTCCATAAACCTAAATAAGACCTAATCGTTTGTGATTAGAAGCATTCTTTTAGAATTGTCATTATTTTGTCTTTTGTCTTCATTTTTGGCTAAAATTATGTTTATTGGAGGAAATTTTGGATCATTCTCAACTAATTCCAAAATTGAGTGCTATGTTGTGTAGACCTTTGATAATCTTCAAGCATCTAGTGCTAGTACAGGAAACTTAATTCTGTTACATTAATATTTATTTTGTGAGAAGTGATTTTTATCCTCATTTGGGTTACAAAAGTGAGTACTTTATGTATTAGAGACAAATTGTTCTCATTCTGTGAGTAGTAACATTTCAATTTAAGCTAAAAATTGAGAAAATCATTATAAATAAGAATAAAATAATTTAGATGAATGAGTTTATTTAAATCTTAATTTTATGAGAATATTGAAGTCATCCAGAGTTTCAAAGAAAATATTAAAATAAAATAACTAAGAAAATATTAATATTAAAATTGATTATTCCTTAAAACATTTCCATTCTCCTTTTATATGTTATATTGCTTTAAAAAATATTTATATATAGCCCTAACTGGTTTGGCTCAGTGGATAGAGCGTTGGCCTGCAGACTGAAAGGCCCAGGTTCAATTCTGGTCAAGGGCATGTACCTTGGTTATGGCCATATCCCCAGTAAGGGGTGTGCAGGAGGCAGCTGATCGACGTTTCTCTCTCATCGATGTTTCTAGCTCTCTATCTCTCTCCCTTTCTCTCTGTAAGAATTCAATAAAATATATTAAAAAAAAAAAAAATATATATATATATATATATATGTTTTTATTGATTTCAGAGAGAGGAAAGAAGAGGGAGAGAGAGATAGAAACATCAGTGTTGAGAGAATCATCGATTGGCTGCTTTCTGCATGCCTCCTACTGAGGACTGAGCCTGCAATCCCATGACTTTCTGGTTCATGGGTCGATGCTCAACCACTGGGCAACACCAGCCAGGCTATTTTGCTTTTTAATATATGAATTGTCAAAGGACTTGATGAAACTAAGTACTAAGATTTAATTCTGATTTAATACTGAATTTGTCAGGAAGACAGTTCAGAAAGAATATATTTTATTAAGTTACACATTTGCAAAAATATTTTTGTCTCTTCAGGTGATTTTTTAAAAAAATAAGAGGTCTTGATTTAGAACCAAAAGGCTATATTAATAAATACAACTGTGCTAAAAAGAAGAAAGTCATACAGTATATTGTTTGTTAATAGTCTCAGCCTTCTGTACATACATATGTTACATTTCTATATTTTGAATACACCTCACATCAACTTCTGCATTAAGTTTGTGACAAATTTGTGCTGTTCTTAGTGTATACAAGACACTTGACTTTACTGTTTTATTCTTGTGTGTAAAAAATGCAATATGAACTTATATATAGTCTTTGCTATGTTAGATTTATAAACTGGTGTTTTTTTTTTAAATATATATTTTTATTGATTTCAGACAGAGGAAGGGAGAGGGAGAGAGGGAAATATCCACGATGAGAGAAAATCATGGATTGGCTGCCTCCTGCATGCCCCCCGCTGGGCATCGAGCCCGCCACCTGGGCATGTGCCCTTGACCGGGAACCGAACCCGGGACCCTTCAGTCCTCAGGCTGACACTGTATCCACTGAGCCAAGCCGGCTGGGGCTTATAAACTGTTTTAAAAAGAAACCAACTTCATCCTTTTGCCAAAGTGGTGGAGAATGTAATTGATAAATCATAAATCTGTAGTGAATAATGGTGTGAGTTAAAGCTTTCACCAGCCCTAGCCAGTATGCTCAGTAAGCTGTATACTAGTATTTTCGTATGAGACATTAATTTAGTAATTTTATATTGGAGGTAATAAGGGTTTCAATTTTATTTAACTAGAATCTCTGCCCTACTGTAATTAAACATTCTGTACCACATCTGTATTAAAAATAACATTGCTGATTTTTTTTTTGAAAAGTCTTGATTTATTGTTTTACTTTGGAAAAAAATTAGAAAATAAAGTAAGTGCCATAAGCTAATTAAAAAATAAAAGGGCAAGCATGCCCTTCCATTTATTTAGGGCAATTTTTTTAGAGCAAGCATGTTCCAAAACCAAAGCCACTAAAACCATGTTATGTTGGCATTGTTTGTTTTAAATAGATTAAAGGGATATGATATACAGTTTATATGCTATAACGGATTTCCTAAAACATTCTGTTTTTTTGCTTGTTTGTTTTTTGTTAATCCTCACCTGAGGACATTTTTCCCCCATTGATTTTTTAGAGAGAGGAGTAGAGACCGAGAGAAACATCTCTGTGAGAGAGACACACTGATTGGTTGCCTCCCACACTCACCCCTTCTAGGGCTGGGGGGACCTGCAACCAAGGTACGTGCCCTTGACAGGAATAGAACCTGCGACCCTTTGGTCTGAGGGTCGACATTCTAACAACTGAGTAAACCGGCCAGGGCAATAGCTTGGTGTTTTTATGGGAATAAATCTTTTATAATTTGACATGTATGGCTCGACTAGTCATAACATTTATTTTTGAAGATGTGTTTGAGAATATTGAAAAAAGCACCCAGTGCCATAAGGCAGAAATATTAGAAATCTTTAAAATGACTAAAATTTCCACCCTGTCTAAATTGTGGCTTAGAACATGTTTTAGCCATTTACTCATTTATATAGCTATTCAAAAGTATTAAAAAATGTGTATGTCAGTGAAGAACACTTGGATAGGACCATTCTTGCCTAATAAGTGGTTGCAGGTGACATTACTTTTTTTTTTTTAATTAGAGGATCAATGCACGATATTCATGCAAGGGGCTCGGCCCTCGCACCTCGGCTTCTTCCGGGAGGTCATTCAGCTGTCCGGTCCAATTAGCATATTATGCTTTTATTATTATAGATTGATTTCAGAGAGACGAAGGGAGAAGGATAGAGGGATAGAAACATCAATGATGAGAACCACTGATCGGCTGCCTCCTGCATACTACCTACTGAGGATCAAGCCCAAAACCCAGGCATGTGCCCTCACTGGGAATCAAACTGTGACCTCTTGGTTCATGGGTCGACACACAACCACTGAGCCATACAGGCTGGGCCAGATGACATTACTTTTGATAGAACATTTCTGGTTTTGAACTCTGTATATTCTGTGGGTATTTTAAAAATGAATAAGCACTTTATTTTTAAAAATCAGTTTTGTAATTATGTATATCTTTTTTTTTTTTAAGGACAAGAAAATGGGTACTATTCTCTTGGTTATTATGATCCAGTATTTGTTTTACTTTGGGGTTTATTTTTCTTAAAGTATTATGATATGTCCTTTTGGGTAAAAATAACAGACAGGAAACCTCAAGTACTAGTAAGGGGGTAACAGAGATTAGTGTGTGTGTGTGTGTGTGTGTGTGTGTGTGTGTGTGTGTGTGTTTCTCAGCCACTCTACCAGGAATTGAGATATTTTAGCTATTTCTCATGGAGGATGGTATATACATGGCTTGGGAACTGGAAAGATCTATTGTAGCTCTAATTATTTCAGAATATAATGAGTTTAAGGATTATTCCAGTCAGATATTCTATTCATTTCAAGCTATTCACCTATATTTTGATAATTGATTCTGGTTTATATGGTATGGAGATAAAGAAATTAGAGTGAAATTACACCTATCTATATTATTCCCCATACTCACAAAGTATGCTATTGGCAGGTTATTGAATGTAAGAGGGTTTTGGTAGGCTGAGAGACAGTGAAATAATATGGACTAAGTATGCCCTTCAGCATTGTCCTAATCGGTGATAGGAGCGTAGGTTTATCTATCTACCTGATTTTTTGCATTTCAGACCTTCTGGAATCAGTTTCTTCCTGAAGTATATGTTTTTAAGGAGTTCCTTTCCCCCCCTTTTTTTTGAATTTATTGGGGTGACATTGGTTTCAGGTGTACAATTCTATAATACATCATATGTATTGTGTGTTCACCACCCCAAGTCAAGTCTCCTTCCATCACCATTTATCTCCTATACCCTCTTCTACCTCCTCATCCCCTTTTCCCTCTGGTAGTCAAGGAGTTCCTTTAGTACAGTGGTTCTCAACCTGTGGGTTGCGACCCCTTTGGCGGTCAAATGACCCTTTCACAGTGGTCGCCTAAGACCATCCTGCATATCAGATATTTACATTACGATTCATAACAGTAGCAACTTTACAGTTATGAAGTAGCAACGAAAATAATTTTATGGTTGGGTCACAACATGAGGAACTGTATTTAAAGGGCCAGAAGGTTGAGAACGACTGCTTTAGTAGGTCTCTGTTTTGTAATATATCTTTTTTTGTTTGATGATATCTTTATTTTCCCTTTGCTCATATGACTGATAATTTAGCTGGGTATACACTTCTAAATTTGGTTATTATCTCTTGGCACTTTGAAAATATCTTTTCATTGTCAACTGGCAACCCATTGTTATAGAGCAGCCGTGGGCAAACTACGGCCCGCGGGCCGGATCCGGCCCGTTTGAAATGAATAAAACTAAAAAAAAAAAAAAGACCGTACCCTTTTATGTAATGATGTTTACTTTGAATTTATATTAGTTCACACAAACACTCCATCCATGCTTTTGTTCCGGCCCTCCGGTCCAGTTTAAGAACCCATTGTGGCCCTCGAGTCAAAAAGTTTGCCCACCCCTGTATAGATGTTTCTTTACAGGGCATGTCTTTTCTTTCTGGTTGTTTTACCTTTGGTATTTTGCAGTTTCACTTTGATATGTTTTGAGAAGATTTATTTTACTTATCCTGATAAGTAAAAGAGAAGAAGGAAGAGAGAAACATCTATTTGTTGTTCCACTTATTCATGCATTCATCCTTGTATGTACTCTGACCGGGGATCGAATCCCCAACTGAGTACCTGGCCAAGGCCAATAATGGGATTGTTTTTAAGGCTATCTAATAGTAAATAGCCATATTGCTCTTTAATTCCTTTTTTGTACTCTCCATATCAATTGAGTTTTTTTTCTCTACACTATAGATAAGCACAATCTGGCTACCTTT